TACCATATTCTTCCATACTTTGTTAAAAAGCAGTTGATGATAATTGGTTGAAAATTTCGGTTGTCATCACATAAGCAGGTTAAGATTATTGTTAGGAATGAATTAGGGATGCCCGATGATGAATGCATAATTTGATTTCCTAGGCCAGAATTATTGTTAAGAATTCTAAAGAAGAGAACCAACCTTAGGCATGATTCTTTGAAATTTATAAATACAATTGTAGGTTGTCTTTGCTTCAGGTAATCTGTAAAAAAAATTGGAAAAGAACTTTCTGCTTGTCAAGACTTTAAAAATATTTTAAGGGTAAAGTGAAAACTCTCTAGTGTTTAAAAACATGAAAAATAAGAAGGGAAACTCCTCTGTACAAAGGCATAAATAGAAAAACACCATAAGAAATTTAGAGTAGCCAAGGCATATGAGTGAATGAAAGTAGTCACAGGATGACCCTGCTCGACTAGCTTGGGGGTGGAAGGTATGCTCCTTTTCACCTAGAGTGTGGAACAGTAGGTGTGATGAGCTGACTCCCTTATAAAAAAAGAGAAATAGAAAAAGATAATAAAAAGTTGATAAATAACTAGGAGTATAAACTAAGCCTGACAAATAATTTGTTGCCTTGATAAACCATAAGTGCTTACTTAAGTTTTCTAATTACCTTTATGCATAGACTGGTTACAATCACGCACACATTATAGCAAAGAATCCTGACTAGGGAAGGGACTTGACTGATATGAATGTCAAACATATTGAGGCCAAACATTTTACTGAGGGATGAAATCTCAAACCATATGATTTTCTTAACACTGCTTTGCCATGACAATTTAGATTTTCTTCTAGCTATTGTACATTGCTTGAGGACGAGCAATAGCTTAAGTTTGGGGGTGTGATAACTCCGTAAAAAGACTTAATTTCCAATCTTTTCACTTAAGTTATTTCTCGTCTAAACAAAGTATGCATAGCATTTTAGTTGCATTTAGTTACATATAGGTTATACTAGCTTGTGGTGTATAAGTTTTTCTTAGGCAAGATTATTTGGTCTGACTTATGCTGTTGAGCAGAAAGGGTTGTTTGGATTATGTTTCTGCATGAAACTTATAGAAGAAGAATATTTCAGTTGTGACAACGTAAATTTACAAAGGCCAACGGAATAGATGAGAACGTGAGGAGCATATTTATGTCGCCGAGTTAAGGTTTATCTGAAGAAGTCTGAAGTAGGTGTGACGAAACCACCTATGTCACACGTCAGCTGGATGACCTACTTCACGTGCAAGGAAGTCTTAATTATTCTGATAGCCACCTTTCCTTTTAAGTCTTGGCATTTAATAACGATTATTTAAGGAAACTCCAAAAGCATTTAAAGCCCTAGGAGATCTTTCCTTATAAATAACCAGTCCTAGCCGCCAAAGAAAGAGGCAAAGAGGAAGAGAGAAGAGCTTTACCCAAGGCGTGAGCAAGCAACTTCAATGTTTCTTCACCATCTACCCATCGACCTTCCTTGGTGTCCTCCATAGCCAGACTTTAGCAGAGCGGTGTTCATGTCTCGAGAGAGGCTGATCCCCAAGATAGGCGTAGTGCTGATCAGAATCGTCGTGACAGAGCCCCCGGTTTAAAACATAGAAACATTAAACCATCCATTAACATAAAATAAAATCATCCAACACGAATCCAACACTGAATAAGTAATACATGGTGTGGCTATGTTCATTCAAGTTTAGTACAAGCCCAAATAGATAAAAAAAATAAAGCACAAGGAGAAGAAGACTCTCAAATAAGTTGTTACGCGACTGTTACCTCCACTGCCATGCACCGCCTTAATAAGATAGCCTCTCTCGAGGTCTAATTGCTACCTCCTAGAAGCTCGGATATGGATGACACCATGAAAAGGGGATGAAAAAGGAAGAAGGAAATGGAAAATGTGCAGTCGCCTTTCTCTTAGGTCAGCTCCAAAAAAGCTCTCTTAAAAATAAAGGGTACGTTGGTATTTATAGAGGGAATATTTCTAGGGTTTTGAGCCCAAAATTCCCTTTGTATCCTAGGTGGCATTATTCTCACGTGAATGGGCGGTTATTATGGCAGGTGGTCCTTAATTTTTCAACAGGGGTGGTGAGTCACGTGTGGCTGGATAGCTTGGAAAATATATTTTTGTTATTTTTTTTTTCTGCTCCAGATCTGCTAGCCATATTTCAGTGTGGCAAGTCTTTTAGCTTTCCATCTCCAGAATGTTACAACGGCCACTTCTCCTTAATCTTTCATTTTATGCACAACAACACAAAAGCAAGAACTTTCCCTGAGAAACATTGGCTTTTAATAAATTCATGTTGCAACAAGACTTTACCACCAAATGCAACTATATGACCTAAATGCACTCTAAATGCTATGACATGGGCTTTAGAACAAACAATAACCGAAGTAAAAAGGCACAAAATATAGACTTTTTAAGGGGTTGTCAATATTGTAAGGCTTCCTCATATCACAATACACATATTTGGTATCGGTACATAGGGTAGGTATCGATACTGAAAGGTTAATATTGATACTAAAGGGCTTAGTATCAGTACCATCGTACTAAATTGGACAAGAAACCGAAATATAGCTTAAAGGCTCGAGAAGGGATCTAAGACCACCAAAACACCTCTAATGAACTTAAAAGTAAGAAAATAGAATGAATGTAGAAAAAGCTTGAGAACTTTATGTAGTAAGATGTCATAAAACTTATGCCATTGGTTAGATACTAGGGAAAACAATAGGGACACCCGAGTTGCTTAGACATGACGATAAGGTACAAGTCGTCCCTCCAATTCAAAGGTGAATCAAGGGAAAGCATGGTGAAAGCGACTAGAGTGTTGCCACTAAATAAAGAACTCGAGTCAAAAGTTTGGCTAGCAGATAATACAACAAATGAATAGTAGTAACAATATTCATCGTTAAATCATAAAACACAAAGAGACCCTAGAGACAAAAATGACTAAAAGCTCTTCAATGTTAAATGACCAGAATATAACTACATGATAAGCTAATAGATAAAAGACTAATAAGCCCTTTTATAACGTTCTAGAGGAGACAAACGAGATAGTAGCGGGTGAGGAGATGACCTCAGCTGGTTATGTTGAGTTATGACATTGAGTAGTCGAACTACCTTATTTGCCCTTGAGTAGTATTAATTGATATGTGTGCCCTATGCCCACCCTTGTACACTTGGATGTACACGATGATCTTCTTGTTTTTTAGAAGATTCAGATATATAACTCAATTAGTGCACAAGGCACTTCAGGTGCTAAATGGGCGTAGTGCCCCAAGACTCGAAGTAAGTTAGTTAAGTGTATGTTTTCGATGTAGAAACTTCAGAACTCACCTTAGGTACGCTAGATTGGTGTGTATCTCGATATGCAGCAAAACCCTCCGACCACATTGTGATGTCTACCTCAGCTTGTGTGTTAGATGATTGTGTGTTTCATTTAATGATATATTGGTTAAGGACTAGTGCATGTATAATTATGGCGAGGCCCGTAGTATTAGACTAAGGGAAGTATGAGACTCAAATCATTATGGCAGTGGATGTACCATGAATAGATGATTTAGTAGCTTGATGGCATATTAGTATTGCTTCTCTAATTGTACTTGTTAGCATGCTTATTTTATGAATGCATGTAGTGTAGTAGAGGTATTGTGTGGTGCAGAGCTTGCGAGGTTAACAATCATAATGTGTTTTCGTTCGAAAGTTTCAAGTTTGAGAAGTACGTTGGGATAACGATATCATTGGAGGAGTTTCAACGGAGTACCAGAGTATAATGATGAATACTTAGTGGGTATGTAATGGTCATGTTTTAAAATGAGTCAGCTTGTAACATTTCAATTATTTATTTATTTATCGAGTTCTAAATTGGGACCTTACCTTTGTAAATGTTATGGTTTCATACCTTATGTAAATGGTTTTAAAGTGAGTATGTTTTCAAAGTAAAAGGAAAAAAAAGAATGATTGTTACATCGGTGATTCTATGTGATGCTCGAATCCTTAGGATTTAGGTGTTACAGAGGTGATTACAAGTGATAGTATTTGTTATAAAGATCTGAACGCTCAAATACCCTGTAACCGTTGATGCTCAAACCCAATACCTCTAGAGTTAATAATCACCCCTTAACCACTAAGGTTGCCTGGTTAGTGTTGTCGTTTCAATTGATTTGAATGTAATTAAAAGACAAATAATTTTTTAACACATTTGATAATAAAAAAAATATTATTCTTCCTAGAGATATGAATTGTTACCTTGTAATTATGGTAGATTGTTAGCAAAAATACTTATCATTAAAAAGAAAAGAAAAGAAATATCATGTTTAATCCTTTGGAAGATTCAATCTCCCAATGATATGGGAAAAAATAATCATTCATACATGTCAACACATAAGTTAGTATGAATAACCATGTTAAGGCAAGGGAATTGCTAACCTAATTCAAAACATCTAATTAACATTTTTAGAAAAAAAAATCTTAGTAATCTAACACATTGTCTTAATTGTTGAAATGTTACGATGATTGATTAAAGCATTTGAGATGTAATAATTTGAATTTTGAGTTAATATATGAGGATTGATTTGAAAGGTTATAGATCGATCTGACAGTGTGATTAGACTTTTTAGACAAAGTGTGTTCTTGGTTGAGAGAGAATTGAACCTAATTAACAATAAAAGAAAGATGTTTGAATTGAGATTAAATTATGAGGAGGGACCAAAATAATAAATAAACCAATGAAGAAATCATGAACAATTTCCCCTTTATTTTAAAATATTTTTTACATATACCATCCCATTGGATCATATCAAATATTTTATAATTCATAGTAATAGGTTTAGGGTTTATAAATAGTATTTATTCAGTATATTCTCAATTATTTAATAGTAAACAATCAAATACATTTATAAAATTATACTTGAATTTGAAACCTCCAAGGATAATGATATCCTTTATCAACCAAATTCTTTGGTTTGTAATATATATTAACAAAAAAGAAAGTGGCTCCCTAAAATAATTAATCTAAGCTAAATTCATGTGCGATAGTGTGTGAAACACACATTTTAGAGAGAATGAAACTCAAACTTCCAAGCAGGTAAATTAAACCCCTCTAGAACCAGGAACATCAATCCATTCCAACTGAAGCTCAACTTCACCAGTCTCCACGTTTCTGAGCCTCAAGAACATGTCTTGTACAGCTTTCCCATTGCTCCAAATGATGCAACTCTCTTGCGACAGACAGTTCTGCCTGCTGGGCTGAACTTTGGTGATTATTGTTCCATCGGGAAGACCTTGCAGACGCATCTTCACTGCGTTTAATAATGGCCCGATCTCGAACTCTGCATCCCCCATCTTATCATCCACAAATGTATCTCTATCGTACACCGCCTGCCCATGTTCATATCGTCACAATCAGAGACGAATTCTCACAAGATTTTATATTAAAAACGAATTTATTTATAAAGGGTTGAACTTACAAAATTCCAATAGTAATTTTGAGAACCACTCAGGTCTACTAATGAAAAACACTTACAAGCTTAACCGGGAGAGTTGGGTCTACGACGGAAAGAGTCAAGTCGTCGTTCCACTCTGGATTCACATTCCTCTTTACCACGCGGGTTTCAATTTCTGCAACACAATCCAATTTCCAAACATATTAGTGAATTGAAACAGTAACGGATCCACAAATTTTCGAAGTTATTTTTATTCTATTAGCTCTCGTTTTCTTGAAATCTTATTTGTACGTACCTTATTTAAATTTTTTATATCTATAACGTATACATGTATCTTAAAAATATTCGTGTATCAGCTCCTGATCAGAAAAGTAAAAGGCAATAATCTATGGGAAACAGATAAAACCCAGGAAGTACCTGTTTTCCCATCTTGATAACAACGTAAGGATCGCTGCTTACAACATCTCTGACGGCAAGATTCACCCCTCTTTGCACATGAATTCTCAACAATCCCGTCAGATTCTCCATTTCTAGCTCAACTTTGTTTTCGGGGAAAAAGAAAACCTTTGGCTGCTGCTGTTGCTGGATGAAAGGCCTAACTATGTATAAATATAAATAGCTTGAATAACAGGCGTGTCAGATTAAATATTTACACATATAGATGTATATTTTGGTAACTCCAGGGAGAAGTGAGGAATCACTATTTTGAAAATCAATTTCACGCGCTAATTATTAAATTTATTTATTTAATTAAACACAACTTGCAAAAAAGAAAAATGGACATTGTCACATTGTTTGACTTGAGCCAATGAAAAACATATTTATATTTATTTATTAAATGAATCAAATTAGAATATAATGTGTTTCATATATTATAGGTGTTTTTTTTATTTTGATAAATTATTTAAAATGTGTTTATTTTCTATCATAATAACTAATAATACTATTACATCCGTCTCACTAAATATGTCATACATTGATTTTTTTAAAGTAAAAATTTTAAACTCTCACTATCATTATATTAAATATTTTTAAAAATTAATAAAATGTATATTTCAAAACTAATTGATTAAAGGTTTCTTAAATATTTTCCCATAATTTTATCAATAATAAAATTTAAATAATAATAAGTCAAAATTTTAAAAAATATATGGAAAAAAAAATCAATAAGGGATAACTTATGTGGGATGGAGGGAGTATTTCTTTATATTAACTATATTTATATTTTATTTTTGATAAATTATTTAAAATGAGGTTATTTTCTATCATAATATATTTTCTATCATAACATATAGTGAGTAAATGGAGTCGGAGGGTCTAAAATACAACTATTAATATAAGATTAAAAAAATAAAAGAAAACAATTATAATGAAAAAATATTATCTAGAGTGCAACTTTTTAGGTTGAACAGAAAATATTATTTTTTTCATAATATTTTTTGTTGTAATTGAAATTATTACAAATTATATAATTTTTTCAATTATAAATCTTAAAAATACCAGAATGAAATATTATTGATTACAACTTAATATATTATATATTTATATAACTTTTTAAATTTAACATGATAACATTTTAAAGTTAAAAATCATCTTAAATTAACTTTAAAATAATTGTCATACAGTGGAACTACTCGTGAGTGGTAGTTGATTGGAGGACACCAACTTTGATGTGGTGCATTCTTAATTGTCTGTGACCTTCTTATTCGTGACGGCTGAGTATTTGGACACACCTTACGAGTTTCGAAAATGGATGCTAATTGACTAGCTACCATCCATAATATAATAAGAAAAAGAAAAGGACGCCATGGCTTAAGGCAAGTCAAGGCTATTAAAAATAATTTTCTTTAAACAAATTAGATGTTATAATTTACTAACAAATTAGATGCTATTAAATATATATAATTTCAGAAAATAAAAAAATTAGAAAATATTTGATTTTAAAAAATATTTTTTAAAAAACATAAATTTTTTAACAAGTGAATTTAAATTTTAATAATATAATATTTTGATAAAATACATTATTTTTTGTATGTTTTTATTAATTTGCATATTTTAATTTATTCAAATATATATATATTAATTTTTTAAGACTTTGGTTCCTTCCCGTTAATTTTAATATTTATTTTCATTTATTTAATAATTCTAAAAATTACAAAATTAAAATATTTTGTACGATGTAAAGAGATCTACCTATATGTACATGGGAATGAAATGAAAAGAAATGGTTGAATTTTAGACTCCCAATCACCAATGCTCATCGATTCCTTGTTAATTGGTTTCAAATGAGATCTGAAACATGGTCTAAACTCTAAGGCGCATGGGTAGACCTTCAAAACTAATGGTGCGTCAATTTCCATGCAAATTAATCATTAATATACGAATAAAACGATATCAATGATTAAATAATTATTGTTGATCCTTAAAGTTCCGGATTCGAACATCATAAATATCAAGAATGTATGAGCTTTATTATCAATGATTGAGAGTTTTTAAAGATATATTATCTTATATTTATATCAGACTAATGGTGACTAAACTCCCTAGATCAATCACTAATAATATTTGTTTAATCCTTTAATTTTTCAAGATATCTTCTCCAAATATTGAAAACTATTGAATAAATCTTAAAAAAAATTAAAGGATGACTCATGACTTGTAAAGGAGAAGACTTTTTCAAAACCTTTGTTATTTCTCTACTCATCTCATCTGTGGAGATCACCAACAAGCTCTCCTGAGTGAATCTTTCCTCCTAGCTATTATAAATAAATTTCAAAAGAATTTATATAATGATTATTCTGTAATTAAAGCTTATGTAGACTCTTATTTTCGTCTAGACATGAATATGAATATTCAATTTTAAATTTTAAACCTTTGTTTTAATTTAAATTTATTTTAACTTTTTTTCAGGCTAATAGTAATTGTAAAAATTAGTATGTTTTTCTATATGCATGAATTACAAAGAAATGTCTAAACCAACATTAAACCAAATTAACCAAGAACAAGTTACAATTGCTAGAGTACCCTAGCCTTTGCTGCGTCGCTGATGCATACAATCATGGTTACGTGCATAGATCCAAGGGTTCATAGCTATCCATAGACTACTGGCTCTAGGAGACGCACTAGATTTTACTCTGCGTCTGTTTGACTTTGTCAAACTCGCCAGGAAGGGTTGCCACTCTCTAATGGTTCCATACGTTCAGAGCTGTCCACGCTAGCAACGTCGGTAGTCATGTAGACACCTATTTTCATCAGAAACCATTTCATAATTTTTTACATATATCGCATTCATGTATATCTAGGGGTGTTAAAATTAGGTGTCCGATTTTTCAAATACTGAAATTTTTGGGAATCAAAATGTCAGCTCGTGTCTAGCCCATTACATCTGGGTACCCGGTTTATAATTTTGTTTTTATTATTTTCCTTTAAACTACATTATATATAATATATAATTCTAAAATTTAAAGTTTTATATATAATTCACAAATAAAGTTTAAAAATTCAAATTATATAATTGAAATAAAATTTATTAATAAAATAAAAAATATATAATTAAATTTCAAGTGTTTCGAAGTAAAATAATATTTTAAATAATAATTTAGAATATTAATGTGAAATAATTTAAGAAATAAAAATTAGAATGTTATGGTAACAAATTTGAGAAATTAAGAATTTAGAATGTTAAATTGAAATAATTTAAAGGCTTAAATAAACAAAAGGTGCCCAACGTATGCCCGTTTTTTTTTTAGTTTAGCGCCTAAACGTTTTTTTTGCTCTAGTTTGGTGCCCACATTTCATTTATTACTCAAATGGGTCACGCCGTGACGAATGTTAGTTTCTCCCATTGAGTGATATGTGGTACATAAAATATATATTTTTTAAAAAAGAAAACACAAAATTTTTGAAATAACCTCAAAACTTTGAAAACCTTCATTTTAACTCCTAACCCCTAAACCATTCATCCGCCCCTCTTCCAAGCTCATCCGCTCGGCGACGGTGGCTTACCAAACCGGTTGGGTTTTGGTCGGACAGGATCGAGGAGCTCAAATTCGGTGGAAGTGAGGCGGAAAGGCGTCGGTTTCAGGCGGAAATCGCAAAAATCGAATGGTGATGGGGGCTTTTCGTCGGACTTTCAAACGCCACTCCGCCACGAACGACGGTGACTGCAGGCGAGTGGATGATTGGGCTATGACTATTCTGGGATGGCGCTTCCACTGGGCTAGGCGGTGATGACTCTCGACGAGCGTTGGTCGAGGTTGGAGGTGGGCGACCAAATGGTTTCCTTGGTGAGGGGGGCTTTTCGTCGGACTTTCAAACGCCAACTCCGCCACGAACGACGGTGACTGCAGGCGAGTGGATGATTGGGCTATGACTATTCTGGGATGGCGCTTCCACTGGGCTAGGCGGTGATGACTCTCGACGAGCGTTGGTCGAGGTTGGAGGTGGGCGACCAAATGGTTTCCTTGCGATTAAGCTCGACGGTCACCTATTTTGGGTGATCCGAGGGCCGGGTTGAGGTCGTCGATTTCTGCTGAGTTCGATGGGAGCGGTAGTGTACGCCACCACCGATCGGAGAAGGGTGGTTCGGTGACAGTGTTAAAGGTTAATGGGTTTAAATGAAGGTTTTTAAAGTTTTGTGGTTATTTCGATTTTTTTGTTTTCTTTTTTAAAAATATATAATTTTTTTTTAAAATTTTAAATTAATTTTTTAAAATTACTAGATTGTCACATGTGTCACTTAAAAGAGAAAACTAACGATCCATCATGGCGTGACCCATTTTAAGTAACACAATGAAACGTTAGGTACTAAACTGGAAAAATAGGCATATGTTGGACACATTTTGTATATTTAAACCAAATTTAAAATTCCACATAAAATCTTTATGTTGGGAAGAACCAAATGAACATAAAATCAATCTCAAAGAGAGAAAGATAATCTCTTTTAAAAGAGATTCAAATCAAACCACAGAGAAAAAAAATATAATCCTCATTTAATGCAAGAAACACAAAAAGAGGAAAAATCATTCTCTTTTAAAGAAATAAATCGAAAGCAAGGGAGAAGGAGCGAGTGGAGAAAAACTCGGCTTTGTTCGTTTGTGGGAAGTAAGGAGCCATCTGGAAGAAAGAGCCGTCTGGGAAGGTATATCCCAAAGCCTTTTTCCTTAGATCTGCTTTTACATGCTTGGTTTTTGGAAATTTGAAGGCATGATCTATATTTTGGGGTTGAAAGGATTTTAAGGGGTAACTTTTAGGTTTTTAGCCATCGGGGTGGTGGCTGGAGCAATGGTTTGAGTTAGTTTTCTAGTGGAAAGCCATCGGAAACTGGATTTATGCTCATCAGACAGGGCAGGGGGCTTGAGAGGTTTAGAGAGTTTTTAGTTATTTTTTAAGAAAGGGTTAACAAAATGAAAAAAAATGGTTGGTGAGGGCTTATATATGTAGACATTCCAAGCAACCCGATTCGATCTAGAGGGGGACAATACCACATGTTTCATTCTTCAAGGCAAATCAGACGCGCGATCCTTCTAGGTTAGAAACTTCCATTTTAGTACTTAAATTACCTTTAATTAGGCTATTTTTCATTGTA